CTGCTTCTGCTACTGCTGCTACTACTACTACTACTACTACTACTACTGCTGCTACTGCTACTGCTACTGCTACTACTACTACTACTACTACTACTACTCCTCCTGCTGCTGCAGCTGCAGCTGCCACGACTGCGACTACCACTACTGCTACTGCTACTGCTACTGCTACTCCTACTACTACTACTACTACTACTACTACTACCACCACTATCACGACGACTCTCACTACTGCTACTGCTGCTACTGCCTTTGGTTCTGCTACGACGAGCATGAAGCTCTACTTCGCTCTGTCGGGTGATAGTTTAGGTCCCGAATGCATGTATGTGGGCATCTGTAGAGGACGTGCCGGACATGGGTCTGCGGCCGAGCTGGTGCTGATCTGGTTTATAACTTGTTTCAGGTCCTGTGGTTTGCAGTACTGGTCGATCATCAGAGGTGGGCAGCGAAGAACAGAAGGATTACAATTTGCAAGGATGTTGGTCCGGAGAGGCTGTATCACCGGCGAGCGGAGAGACCAAGGCCGAAACTTATCAAGCTTCAGCCCTTACAGCGCACACCCAACTCTGAGCTCTGGTGATTTCCCACAGAGCCGCTCGGAACGGTGCAAGCCTGTTTTGGCCCCATGCTGCGATGCTTGCATCACGGAGTTATTGTGGCCACGTTTGCTTTCTGTTCATGACTGAGCCAGCTCCGAAGTCTGCACTTCTGCAGTTCTTTCGAAATCAGCACAGAAGGAGCCGAGCTCGAAAATTGGCTAGATGTTCTTGGCTCGCCCAGGCTATCTCCGCACGGACCAGGTGCGCCCCTGACGTTGATTCCGTGTGCGCTTCTGAACCCCTGCACCAGGTACCCTATACACATCCGCACAACACAAATCTTGAAAGGTGCACAAGATTGGTTCCAAGACCATCCCATGTCCGGATCCTGGCAACCTGGGGCTTGTTTGCGGGCCATCGGCTGGCAGCTGAATCTGGCGCTTCGACATCACTAGACTGGACACGGTTTTGCTTTTGACTCTGATTTCGACGTGAACATGCTTCATTCCAAGCTGATGTGACGTCACAATACAGACACTCGCCTGCAGCAATCTCTTGCCGTGTCCCTGACTGACCCGACAGTTCGCTAGTGTTGCAAGAGTTGCCGCTAAAAGCCAACCGCGACATGCTAGACGATTCGTCTGTTTCACTATGTTTCCTGTGCATGAATGTAGACTTCCGATGAACTCAGCCCCTTGCGTGTACGATTCACATCCCAGTTAATGGAGGGTATATCAAGCAGGGGGTCACTCTATTTTACGAGTTGCTTCAGTTCGTGTGCAGGGTGTGGTGATGTGTGGTGTGTGTTTTCCCTCAACGCAGTCTTCTGCTCCATAGGGTCGACCTCTGCAATGCCCGACGCCTGAGCTGGACTTCAGGCCCCTGGATAACTTGCCACTGTTCGGACATTGTCGAGGCTGTGGTCGTGGAGAGATCTGCCTGAAGGGCCTCAACATCTTCCAAGGCTGGATCTGTAGCTTCCGGCCTTGCAAACTTGTTTTCCTGCAGACTGGTTGGTTGGGGCTAGGAATATCGGTAGGAGCACTGTTCTCGCGAAGCACATACATTTACATACCGGATAATACAAGCACGTTCGCATGGCGCTTGTGCATTCAGAAAAGTGGACATTTGCGATGGTAGCAGCTGCATCATCACCGTGATCATTGCTATCATCATCTCATTCACGAAGTCCGCTCCATCATACCGATCCTCTGCGAAACCATTCTCAAGAACAGGGTCGTTGACGTGCCGCAAAAGTTCTTGTTCGGCTTTGCAGCCGTGCATTGTGGCAGATACCCCCAGACTGCAGCAGTCTGCGTGACACTCAGGACGACCCGGTCACCCATGACGTGCAATTTACGCAGGGTCACTGCGCAAGCGATGGCTGCTATTGTTTGCAAAGGAGGAGTCATGCCCAAACCCCGTCCCGAAAACTTGAGATTTCGCCGATTCTGACGCCAAATAAGTTTAGATCTTGCAAGACCCTTTGACTCCGTGTGGTCGTGCTTCAGTGGGAGGCTACTACAAGATGCCGGACAAGACTGCAGAGGCTCGCGAAGCTCTAGCAACACTCGGTTTCAGTAACATAACAGACAGTACCTGGCTGCAAATCACGTTCCTTCTGATTTGTTGACGCCTAACTTGTCGAAGTCGAGCAGCTGCTATAGCAGGACCTCCGATTCTCTCGCGCTGGCACAATGAGGAATGGCAGAATAAGTACCTGGTACCTATCATCACTGTCAAGCTCGGGGACATGGCGTGCTCAGTAGCACTGGTACTGGTCAGGATTTCTAGCCGGACTCGTCGTCATGATCACGACAGATAGCTCTTCAGGAGCTTGCGGGAGTTCTCGAGTAAGAAGGATGGGATCACGTTCTACAGCCTTCAGATGTGATGAAGCGGGACTTCAAGGCATTTAGCAGCTTTAGGGAGAAGGAAGTAAGTTGTATGTGGCAGGGTGGGACCCCCCTCCCTTGCTGCTACTACTAGCACTGGAAATGGCACTGCTAGCAGCACAACGAGGCACGCGGAGCCGAAGGCTGCTACTCCTGTTGCTCCCCCAATGCACTCAAAAGCACCCGCGTGTGCCCTCGCCCCTCAGCCCTCGCCCCACCGCTTGAGGCGATCGATGCAGATGGCTGGTTCCATTCTGGGGACATCGGGCAGCACACTTACTTTCTGAGCTACTCTTCTCCTTGTCGTGCTGCTCTGGACCTGACAAGCTGAGGATGTGGACGCCTGACGGGAGGCTCAAGATCATCGATAGGAAGAAGAACATCTTCAAGCTTGCCCAAGGCTCCCGAATGGATGGGTGTGCAAAATATAAGATCTACTCAACATGTCGAAAGTGTAGTCATACACCGTGTCCAGAGGTAGCAGTGGTGAGATGTTGAAACGATGGTAGGATCCCAGAGCCGACAGCCAGGGCGAGAACACCTGTTGTCCTCATGCCCCGGGGCCACAAGTACGAACGGGAGTGCGAGATGGATCTCACAAGCTTAACTTGTTGAGCGCATCAGGGCAGAATTGCGCCTTTGCTCGGAGTGTTCTGCATTTCATCCGTGAGAAACTGCATGTCACCGCAGTTTCTCACGATTTGATTGAGAACTAATGTCGTATAGTGAGACAAGTCACGCTCCGGCTCAGAACATCTTAACCGGCAGCCAAGCCGCCAATCTTGCCATCTGGTCGGTACATGTTGTTCAATGCTTCAGCTATCCCGGATCGCTGCTTGACTGCAGGCGAGTACGTGGCGCCAGAAAAGCTGGAGAATCTCAATGTCCGGGACCCCGAGCCATGTTTAGGCAGCGCATACCTTGTCTACAGAACTTTTTCTTTTCTGCTCGCTGTGCAGGAGCATCTTAGGCAAAGTGTGCTGCTTGCGTCACTACGTGAGTACAGTGGTGCAGTACAGCAGTCAAAATCCGAAGGGAATGGTTTAGCGGTGGTCGTGGTGCAAGCCGTCGCGTCGACGTGGTAGGGCACAAGCAGCAGGAATTGCAGTCATCTTGGTGCATCCTGCAGGAGAGAAGTCTGAAGCTTCACATAGAACTATGCTGGTCTAGAGACATTCCTGGCGGAGAAATGTGCACGGAATACCACGCAGCAGTTCAAGAGGGGTAATTCGACAGCCTTTTCAGGTGCAAAGCAAGTTCATAGCCCAGAGCTTCGTCTACGGCGACAGTCTGAAGACTCAGTGGCCTTAGGCATGTGTTCCCTGCAGGCTGCTGGCAAATCCAAAGATAAATGCAAGCCCTACCAAAAGTCTGGAGCCTGCGCAGCAGGCTACACCAACGCGATTACACTTTGCGACCGGACCGACATCTTTAGAGCACATGCCGTTTGAGCCCGACGCAGCAAAAACGGCCATGACTCTGCGGTGGAACCGAGATCCCCAGACTAAAGTAAGCCTGCACTGTCGCAGCCCATGCACTTCGTCCTAAACCTCATAAGTCCGAAGCTTTTCCGTCCCGTACATGCGAACCGTAAAAGGAGTCTCCAAGGCTGCACTTTGAGGAATTGGGGATCATAAGGTTGGGAACCACGGCTTTTTCAGCAAACGAGACACACCACAGTTGCCTAAACCATAACGAATTAGTTAACTCCAAACCCCAGAATGTTCTACTCCTGCCCAAGCTTGACTCAAATTTCTAACAATTCAAAAAAGCCTATAATATTCAAGATCTTGGCATATCTTGGCCAGGCTCGTCTCCATCGTGGTCCCCGACCCTGAGGTCGCCAAGGCCTGGGCCAAACAGTGTGGCTCCCAGCTCTGCGGAGAGACTTAAACGGCAAGATTAGGTTTCGATACGTATTTGCTTGTTACGGGGCCTATTTAATCGCCTGTTCAAGGTGCTGAGCATTTGGAGTTGGAGGAGTGTTCTAAATTGTTTTAATTGGAATCTCGAGCCGTTACTCAGTGAAGGCAGCTTGGGGAATACATCAAAGTTTCGTACGAGATGTTCAACATGGCACTTTAGGGTTTTCGCGAAACAGCAAAGAATCATGAGAGCAATGCTTCACCCTTCACACGATCCTTAAAAACACAGCAAGCTGAGGGACCCACAAGACTTCGGATGTGCTATTATAACGGAAGTTGTGCGTTCCGTCCACTTGGAAAAAAAGTCGCAAAGTCTTAACGCCTAATGTAAGACTTGGCTCCAGTCAGGGCTTGCCTCCTGTTGGCTCAAACCCCGTGCTGCCTTCTCTTTTGCTCCGAGGGTAGGGCCGGAGTGATGTTCCTGAGACCCGACCACCAAAGCCTCAAAAGCCCTTCACCTCCAAAGCTTTAGAACACCGAACCTGAGAACCTAATTAAGGCCGGCAAACCCCTGTACCAATATTCAACACCTTACACTGCGAAGCATGAGCCGCTCCAAGCTTGAGCATTTTAGAAGTTTCACTGTTTGTTTCGCCCCTTCTGAACTATGGCCGCTGGCACCTGTGGTGTGAAAGAGGTCCCTGGGGTCCGAGTACCGCAGACACCTTCTCCCCACTTCGACATATAAATTCCGGTTGGAATCAGGGGATTCAGTAAGCGGGTTGCAACGCTCATTCTGCTTAGGTACTGATGGGGACACTCAAGGCTGTGAGGCGGTGATTCATTCTCTTGAGTTTAGCTTATGGTTCTTGGTCAAGGAGGAAGCTCGCCGGCTCCTGGAATGGGCTCTGTCATGGTGTCTGGCAGCAACGAAACAGGAATCCCCTATCGCAACACCCGTAGCCCGACCGAAGAGGCCCAAGTATTGTCGGCCGGGGAAAGCTTGCAGGTCGTTGCAAGGTTTGTTCGACGGTTGAAGGCTTAACGTTGAGCCATGGCTGCCGAAGGGGTATGAGTAAGATACCGCGTTTTTACTGATCTGCAACACAGCCACTTCAGCGTTTCTGGGTTTTGGATTCCAGGCTTCGGGTCGGAAGTCCGCTGATTGGCCCATCAAGACGTTTGTCGAACGTACCACCCTTGTCACCCCCTGTCTGAAAGGCGTTGATTCTCCTTGGCCTTCCCACCGGGGCGTCGCGCAGCGCCGTGGAGAGTGCTTTCCGCCGGCGTGCGCCGGGAGCCCTTTTAGGGACCATGTTAGTGACCGGACGATCCTCAACAGCAGTAGCGGTGACGTGTTGCTCAAGCCGACGTTTCTTTTGTGAGCAAGGAGCCGCATAGCAACATGGAGCCACGAGCTGTTTTAGGATTCAGGTCAATGCAGGCTCACTGCAATTAAAGACAGGTCGCCCGAAGCTGAACCTCGTTTCGATTTGTTGCACAAGGCTCGGTATGCCGGCGATTTAGCCAGGGAGGTCGAACAGCACGGGTCGGGCAAAGAAGTTAGCTACCAAGAAGTACATGGTTCCCACTTGCAGCAAGAACGGCAGGAGTGGCACAAAGCAAGGACACAAGCTGTTAAACCAGAGCCTTCTGGCGTCAAACTGGCAGCAATCTGGAACCTTCTGCACAGACTTGGCAATGGGTGCTGGTGCTACCTTTGCTATTGAGGCTCCGGTGCCACCCAGACCGGCATCCCAAGGCAAGCTGGCAGAAAGCTCAAACGAATTGCTTTGAGTATGTAGCTAGCAAGCAATTGCACAAGAAGCGGATGAATCCTCCACAGCTGGCTAGGCAATGCGGGATGCATTTTTGGGGAATGTCCTTTGGGCATATCTACGCCTTGAAGTCGAACAGTGAGACGGTGCGCAAATCAAGTTTGGGGATTTGGGGTGTGGACTTACGGATTTGTGCTGGATACGGCCAAACCTTGACTGCTCCTTGCCTGGAAGATCGTCATGTTATTGGCCGTGCAACGCCCCAACAACCAGAAACACACAACGGACGCCCGAAGCCCCAGACCTCCAAAGCCTGCAAGCCCGAGCCCGAGAGATCCGCAAGCCACAAGCCCTCCAAACTCTGAATGCCAGCCTCCACCGCTGACAGGATCCCTTGGCAAAAGCCCGATTCCTCCGATTGAGCCGAGCAAAGGAGCTGCTCCTCTCAGCAGCAGAGAAGGCACCCACAGCACAGAACCTGTCCAGGCTCTTGTTCATAGTTGGTTGTAGCAAGGCCTGGGTCACATCCTATGACCAAGGCCCCAGACAATGCTCCTTCCGCGAAGATAACGATGCTTGCCTATAAGCATTGACCCTGTTGAAAAGCAATGGCCCCTGCCTATGAGCAACGACCCTGCTTATGCGCGAGGACGACATTCATAAGCAACCAACTACCTAATTTCTTGAGCAGACAAATAGACCTCGAACCAAAGGAAGACAAACAATGCCACTCTGCTAATTCAAACATATGAATGCCGCAGATATTGAAAATCATGAGAGCAGCTGCCCCCCGAATAATACCGATGCGAAACCTGTGTTTTCACAATCGCAGGCCCCATGGCAACCCTTTCTGTACTCCTGCTCCTACTCCTATTCCTACCACAGCAACACCTACTACTACCACTGAAACTACACCACCATACCACAACCACTACCACCACCACCACCACCACGACAGCGACCCCGACCTCGACAACTGTCACAATGACTGCGTAATACCACCACAACCCACTACGACGATGACAGCTCCTGCTGCTACTACTACGACACAGGAGTCTAGCAACCATTGACTAGCAAAAACGAAGACACACGCCAAAATAACAGGCCAGCCACCGTGGCAGCAGCGCCTGCCGGCACCAATTCCAGAAACACGTTAGTTACATCCTGACCCGCTGCCTGTTTGTTTACTTCCACGGAGGAACATGGTGAGTTTATGCAGCATACCACGCGAGCTGGTTTGCTGATGTCATGAAAACGCTGGTGCTTACGATGATCTCTGGGATTTGTGCACAGGTTGTGCATTGACACTCTCGCTGTTCATAAACGCATGGTTTGTCTAGGAGCATGGAGCAGCTGCTCATAGAAACACTGTGTCTACATATAGTTCGAAGGTCCAGGCTCTGCGTAAACAATCAAGATGTGTGGGGAGTGTACATGAAGGATAGTCGCTTTGGTGGAGGGCATACAGGGGCTTGGACCATAAGGATTCGAGTGACCCTCGTCTTGACACTTCCTACTTGAAGTTGCAGCCCGAGTCGGGATTGGGATTGGGCGTTTGTACTATGTGGTATACTGTTTAAGAATGTCAAAAGATGAGAGTGAAGCAAAAGATGAAATTCACGATTTAAAAGGTACAAAAACTGATTTACAAGAAAGCGAACATTTTGAATCTAAACATGTTCGATCAAATAACCTGGACACATGGGAATGATGGGTGGTCCGCCTCTACATCAGCTTGCCGGCAAATTGCTTTCTATGCGTGGATGTTGGCAGATATTATGCACATGTTTACGTATATGGGCATTTACATCTACTATATTTGTTCATATGTATGCATGTATGTATGTATGTATGTATGTATGCATGTATGTATGTATGTATGTATGTATGTATGTATATATGTATGTGTGTTTGTATGTGTATAAGTACATGCATATGCACATACAGGCAGACATATACTAATAGTAAAGATATGCATACACAGATTTATTATATGCATGGATATAGATGAATTACTCACTGATCTGTGTACATGCAGACTATGTACTTGCCCGATCCAGTAATTACATCCGACAGAGAAGTTACATGTTACGACACCTTGATGGGTGATGCATTCCCCCCGTTTGCAGACATAAACGCAGTAAACACTCTCGCACACAATCGAATTAAGAAACTAAGAAGGCAGAAAACGGCAAGGCGATACTGCACATGAGGTTACCGAGTGGTAAAGTTGTAGAATAAGCTCGAACGATCAACGTGAAGCAACTGTTTTGTCTGCTTGCGTTTCGTTTGGAAATGGCGGAGTATATGCTGTGTACTTTGTATTGCGTTAGTATGGCATACCATGGTAGTGCAAATGCAATAAGTATAAGTGAGTGCTTGTGCATGTGCGCATGTGCAAACATAGGAATGTATGCGCTGTTATACAAACATGGCCTTTTGTAATCAATAACATTCTTATATGCATATGCGCATAGCACAATGCTAAACCGTGGTGAGTACTAACATGCATATATGCATGTGCACATAGCCGAATGTTATAAACATCCACTATGTGCAAAATCCCAGGTCTCATGACAAGCCGCCTCGCTCTCTAGGAGTACGAGTAGTAGCAGTGGTAGCCGCAGCAGCTTTGGTAGCAACAGTACTAGGTATTGTGACCGTCGCCCGCAGTGCTTGGATTCCAGACAGGGTTTGAGGCTTCGCGGTTAAAGAGCTTAAGGCTTTTATTTCGCCCATACTTGACATCCTGGTGTTTCAGGATCCCCAAGTGATTTCTTGGGTAAGGCATACACAATTAGTGCCGATGTTCCGGCAGAGCACACGAAAGACCCTAAGTGCTTACACGATTGTCGCAGGCAGGCTTAAGCATGACCGTAGTGCAACATGTTATGTTTGTGTGTCCAGGTTTTCTCTGTTCGCCAGCATGTCACACACAGACTGACTGACTCACGAGTTCCACCGGAGTGCATCCTGGCATGCAGGTTTTCACGAAGTCGACGCAGCCGACCTTCACTCCCAGCGATGCAGCGCAGCAGAAAAGGCTGCGAGCCTAGCATGCTCCAGATGCGCTTGGTATAAATACCCTGCAAAAGTGAAGGACGAGCTAGGGCATCTAACAGCATCAGATTTTGAGTTGGTGCGGTCGTGAGCTCCCTTCACACAGGATTCGGATTTTAGGTGCTGTGCTTCAGGCAGGCCCAGGGGGCCCAGGAGCAAGCCAAGCGCGAGCGGGAGCGCCAGAGGGCCGAAGAGCGGCTCAAGCAGCGGGAGGCCACGGTTGTAATCTCGGAATTTATAGGACCGGGAGTTTAGAGATGTTTAGAGCTTCCTCTAGGGATGCAAGCAGGTTCCTGCAGGATGCTCGGGAGTTGAGGCCTGGGATGCCGATCTTCAGGCTTTGAAGGGTTCAGCGTTTGGGGCCTGGGGCTTTTATATACGACTAGGATAATTCGATTGAGCCCGCGCGCGCGCGCGCGGGGACGCAATTTTAAATCAGACACTCGGACGCTCAGCCACTCAGACGCGCGGACCCTCCCTCAGACGTGGACTTAATCTAAGTTTCTCTAGCTTTTCCGCGGATGGTGAGTTTGCCTCCAAAGGCCGGGATACATTAAAGCAGCAGAAGCCCTGGGACTGATCCAGCTGCATCGGGTAGGTTGGCGGCACCATTTCGCAAAACGCCATCACCATTAGAAATACACCAACAGAAAGACAACAGCAATAGATCTGTCATGTAGAGTGCCTGCACAGTGACGGAATCTCTCTCTCAAGTGAGTTTCTGGGCAAGGAAGTGTTCTCGCATGTGGCCCTCGGCTTGAGCGGCTTGGTAATTGGCTGGTGGGCCTCGACATCCAAGCCTCAACGATCTGAGCCTAATATCTGTCGCTGGTAGTGGGGACTCATCTTCGCGAGAGGTCCTCTGGTTTTGGGTGGTGCTGGGCATTGGAAGTCTGCTTGTCGCGGCCAATCTTGTCCTGGTCTGTCGGGTGACGCATTCAGAAGGAGGCGAGAAGGAATTCACATTTTCCGTGAAAGGAAAGCCTGAAAAGAGGACTTTTGGAGCAGCGACAGGACTTCAGCTGGTGGACCAGTACGGTTTTCGCTGAACTATGACTGCTGGGCACGTGGTGTACGTACTGTGCCATGCTGACCCGGGAGTATACCACACAAGACTCGAATGGATGATCATCACACCAGACCGAGATGTATACCCAGAGTTGTTGGATGCGTCGAATGGTGATATCAGTCTCTATCACGCTTCAGACGGAAGGATCCCACATCAGGTGCCCGCCCTCCTGCCGAAAGGGCTCGTCGTGGCCTTCAGGGTCCTGGACCCAAACCCAGTCCCGGACCTGCTCAGAGTTGAATACTCATACTCTGATGGCCAACTGTCCTTTTATCTGTAAACCTTGATGCACCGTAGGTCACTGCAATCTGATGCGACTCGATTGCCAATATTTGCCAATGCTTGCGCCATAGCGGGATACAATGCCATAGCCTTTGGTGGCCGGTGCAGTGCATGCGACCTGCTACGTGTGTCCAGGATGCAGGCAGTGTTCAAATGTGAAGACTCACAACATTGCCCTAGTATGGCGGGGTCTGCCGGCCGCGAACACCGCCTGTTCACTCGCATAAGCAAGCCGAGAAGGTCAAGCAACACGGTATGCTAGTGGAGGTTGCTTGTCATTTTATCAAATACTGTGCAGATCACGGCGTCCATTGGGTTCTCGAAAACTCGTCCTTTTCTAGGGTCGGGCATGGCAAACAGAGTCAGTTCGGGCGCTGCAGCGAGTCATTATTGTCAATACCGTGCTCCCTGGAAGCGGCCAACCTGCCTGTTGTCGGGCCCCTTTCCATGTGCACAGTAATCAAAAAAGGGGCGGCAACCCACTGTACATCTCTCTCTCAAGTGCTTCTGGGCACCTCCCGCCCTCCTCATCCGCCATCGGCAAGATCCTTCAGGCCTCCTCGAGCTGAAGGCTCTGTGGACAGGGTAATCTGAGCATTGCGCTCATGTGGAGCGTCGCAAAACAAGGATCTTGCGATACTGTGGCGGGTGTCAGCCTCGGTCATTGTATTGTGAAGCTGGCTGATGACGACAATGCAGCAAGCGGTTAACGGCGAACCTCAAATCCTAAATCCCTTGACACACTCTAAGGATGCTTGCCAATCCCCAAACCCGCAGCACGACGGACCCTGCACACACCAAACCACAAACGCCTTGTCGCAATAGCTTTCATCTCCTCAAAGGCTAAGTCTTAACATTGAGAGGAATAAGCGCCAAAAGAAAAAGATAAATAATGTCCTTGCCCTGTTTGCCTGCCTGCCTGCCCGAGTGCCTACCTACCTCGCTGCCTGCCTACCTACTTACCGACCTACCTACCCACCTACCTACCTACCTACCTACCTACCTACCTACCTACCTACATACATACGCAACGTAAAGAATCAAAACACTTACATGCCTCCACAAAGAAGACACAGAAGCGCCGTAACATTGACTGTTGCTGGTTGGCGAGGCAGAGGCCCGAGCTCGCAAGAAGCGAGAAGAGGCTGCTGAGGGAGAGGGACTTGGCTGGTCCGGGTTGGACTTCGGCTTTGTCGAGGGCATTGGGGGTCAGCGGTTGGTCCATGGAGAATGGTCGCTTCCGAATTTTAGGGAGGCATTGGCTTATGCAAATGTTTCGGGGGATTCTTCCGTCGCAGTCGACTACGACGCATGCGTCTTCAGAAACTGGATCCTTCAAGCCTAGCCTCCTTTGCTAATTTCCCAAACCCGAAAGCCTTAGGATCCCAACAACCTTGACCCTAAACGCTGCAAGTCCACGTCTCCTCTACAGGAGGCGAGCGCCCAGGCCGAACAAAGACGAGCGGCCCTCCGTGCAGAGGTCGGACAGTTGTCCAGGGTTCAGCTGTGGTGCCTGTAGCATGCTGCTGCTGCTGCTGCTGCTGCTGCTGCTGCTGCTGCTGCGGTTGCTGCTTACTTGTTATTGTTGTTCATGAAAAAACTGTTTGCGTTTGTTGGTATAGTTGTCGTTGATGTTGTCGTCCGTGGACTTGTTATGATGATTGGGATGATCATCATGATGCTTGCTGCTACTACTGCTACTACTACTACTACTACTACTACTACTATTACCACCGCTACTACTGCTACGGCTACTGCTACTACTATTACTAATTACTACTACTACCAGCATCAGTACCAGTGTCAGTGCCAATATCAGATTTAGTCTTAGCTCTAGTCAGTTAGCATTGTTGTGCTGGTATGAACGTTTGAGTATTGATGTAACAGCAAGAGTGGTGGTTGTAGTAGTAATACTAGTAGCAGCAGCAGCAGCAGCAGCAGCAGCAGCAGCAGACGTATTCGTACCAGCATTAGTATTAGCATTTGTACTAGGATTAGGATAAGGTTTAGGATGAGTATCAGTATTCGTATTGGCATTTGCATCCGTATCGGTATTAGTCTTGGTAGTAGTATTAGTATTGATAATGATCGGCATTAGTATTAGTATTAGTATTAGTATGAGTAGTGGTACTGGGTTAGGATTGATATGGGTATCGGTATGAATATTAGCGCCAGCATTAACATTAGCATGAGTATTCTTGTCAGTATTGGTGTTAGTATTAGTACTACTAGCAGTAGTAGTATTTGTATTTGTAGTGGCGTTAGTATTCGCATGAAGATCAGCAGTGGCATTAGCACTGGTAGTGGAAATGTTGTTCTGTTCCTTCTTGTTGCTGTTCATGTTGTCGTTGCTGGTGGTGGTACCTGGTGGTGGTAGTAGTGCTGGTGGTGGCAGTGGCGGTCGCGGTGGCGCTAGGTGGCGGGTGGCGGTGGCGGTGGTGGTGGTGGTGGTGGTGGTGGGTCGTCGTCGTCCGTTGCCGTCGTTGCTCTTGTTGTTGTTCATGCTGTAGTTGCTGTTGTTGTCGTCGTCGTTGTTTCTGGGATTGACCGATATTACTCTCATTATTCTTGTTGCTATTGTCGTTGTGATTTTTCTTGTTGTGTTGTCGTTGTGGTGTAGGGCCCTCGTCAAGTGCGCTCCTGCTTCTGGCTTGAGGCAGTGTAGGGTTCGAAGCTGAGGAGGAAGGCTCCTTGTGTTTGCTAATGTTGCCGGCCTGAGTGAGAGCACCTCTCTGTCCTAGTGCCACTATACATACGACTCTTCTACAAGTACCATGTTGCTTTTCATAAGGTTCCCCTCGGGAGTTGGGTTCCCCATTAGGTTTTCCAACCGCATAGGCCGCGATACGAGGTGCGGTGCGGAAGCGAAAGCATTTTTTCTTCGGCGTCCAACGGGTCCGCAGAGGTGCAAACGGGTGCAATGCGGAGCGGGATCGGAGGGGTTCCACCGGGCGGGTCGTGATATCGGGTGCGGCACGGCGTGTTTCACCGGGCGGGTCGCAATACGGGGTGCGGCAGTCGGGTGCGACGCGAGGCGGGATGGGGGTTCCAGCGGGCGGCACGGCGTCCCACCGGGCGGGTCACGATACGGGGTGATTGTGGAAAAGAAAAGAAGCTCGTGTCACTGCTTGCGAGATTCGTGTTGTGGATGGTTTGGGGATTCCCGGGTTGACCTTGTTTGTGAGTCATATAGCAGCGGCGCGATGTGTTCCACCGGGCGGCTCGCGATACGGGGTGCTTGCCGCTGAAGTACGCTACAATTTCAAAAAAGAACGCTCGTGTGACTGGCCGCGAAACTGCCTTGTGATCTATGCGGATGGTTTTTGGGTTTATGGTTGATTTTGTTGTGAGTCAAACAGCAGCGAAATCTGGCATGAAAGCGGACATAGGTTGGGTGCGTGTTATTGTCGTCTTCATCATAGTACCATCTCCTCACTACAGTGGCCATCCTCTGAATCTTCGCTACCTGAGCAGAACGATGACAATCTCTATCGCAGTCGTCATCATCATCTTCTAGGTCACGGCAGCAAAGTACTTGGCCGTGGCCGTCCTGGCGACGGTGGTGCCGGTCGTGGGGGCGCGGATGGTGGTGGCAATGTATGAGTTTGTGCTGCTGGCGGCCGTGGTGATTATTACTATACATGACTTTCACATACTTTCACGAAATCTTCAGCATATCATTGCCCGTCCATGCCCCACATTGCGGCTATTTTGCAGAGGGCGGTTGTGGCATGTTGACTAGTGCGGACATGATACTGGGTCGGACAAAGTGGCTTCACTCATAAATTCATCAGATCCTAAACCCGAAACCTGAAGCCGCTATATCACAGGAGGAGAGGCGAGAGCGCATCGCAGCCGCAGAGCGGCAACGCGCGGAGATATTTGAGGACTCATGCATCTGCACGGGAACAATGACAAGTAAAAAGGGGGAAGACTTGAATGTATGGACATGTGACGCTTGGAATTTCTGCCCAGTGGAAATAGTAAAGTAGTTGCATCCGGCGCTTCGTTGAGGCATGTTGGCAACGGGCCTCAGCGAAACTTAAGTTTTCTTGATTTGGCCTGCTCGGAGGACCAGCGGACAGAGTCTGTAGATAATGCTGTAGATGGTTCCACAGCTAGTTTAAGTAGATGCGGGAGACTCAAGAACTCTGGCGCGATTCCCGACTCACGATGCATTGCTGGAAGCAGTCTTCTAGCTGACGTACAAGTTGTCAGCTCTTATATTTGCACATTCCCTGACTTTAAGTCGCGACGTAATCTCCAAGACTCCAAATCCTGGTCGTGTACACCCAGAACTCAGCAACGGGCACTCGTTTGCCACCTGCGCCCCCAAAACCAAAACCGTGATTCCCTGAGTTCCCTGGACGGCCCCACCCAAGCCCTAGCCAGGCATACCGGCGGAAGCGCACAACGCAGAGGGCAGAAGCGGTGCCTGAGGCCACCTATGGCCGCCTACATGGGCTTTTAGAAGGGTTCAGGGCCGTTTAGGGTTTAGGTCTTCGTTTGTAGGAATTTCGGGCTCAGGATCAGGAAGCTGGGCTGTTAGAGGTTCGGGGCTAGCAGTTAAGGGTTCTTGAGACTGCCAAGGGTTTTTGGACGTATGTAGAAACAACGAGAACACAGGATTCCTGCTAAGGAGGAGTGTTTGGGTGGCCAATGCAATCTGCTGAGACGATGCCAGGCATGCAAACCTGCCGAGATGTCCTGCATGTTGGCAGGTGGCTCGCACTATGTAGACTAGTCGCCCGCCGTGAGAAAATGTGAAAAGCAGCGAAGACACTGTGTACACATTAAAATTCTGCCAGCATAGAGACTTTAGCGCGCACCTCAAGACCAAGTCACTGGGCGTCGGCTGCGGACTGAGATTGCTTGACGCACACCTCACTGTGAGGATTGTACGGACTGATTGTAGTCGAGACGAGCCATCTGCATGAAGATGAAAGGCAGCTCGAGGCCGAGAGCCTCGTAAAGAAGCCTGAGGTGAAGCAGACAAGCATGAGAGTCGAGAGTTTGTCAAGTCTGCTTCTCTTTGACACACGAGCGGGCGGAAGCAACTATGCCATTGCAAGTGTTCGGGATTTCTAGTGATGTCGTTGCTGTTGCTGCTGTTGCGCTGCTAGCAGTGCAGAGCCAGAAAAAGGCAGAAGCACAACAGCCCTGGCGAATAGTATTGTTGTCAAAGAGGCACCACACAAAATCCGCTGACCCGAGAATCCAGATGCAAGACTGACGCAGAAGGTACCACTCCGTTCAGGTTCCAGAACGCCTGCAGCACCTGTGCTGCCGACATGTGATTGGTTTCGGGCGGTTCTACATGGGCTGCGTTCGTCAAGTTCATATGAAAGGACCTATTGTGTTAGCGGGCGCTTGGTTTTTAGTTTAGAAAGTTCTCATCGGTCGGCCATGAAGGCAATGGCCAAGGAATGGGCTGGTAAAATGGGTGTTATCATGGGTGTGGCGTGGACGTGCTGGCCAACGCATGGGCTGGTAGCATGGAGCGGTAGCATGAAACGCACGCAATCGTTCCCCGCATGCCTGCGTTCTTGGAGGAAGCTAAAGGCTCCAGGCCGAGATCAGGTACACGACGAACTATGTCAAGCCAAACGTGCTACCTCAATAACGGAAACCCTGAGTACTGAAGAAGAGGAGTGGCGACCAAGCGGTAGAAAACGAGGGTAGTCGACCGAAGGGCCAGAAGCTAACTCCAGCCGCCGCCGAGGGGAGCACTACTTTCCTACTGCAGCGACTACTACTACGATTACTACTACTGCTACTGCTACTGCTACTCCTACTACTACTACTGCTACGACGACGACTACTGCTATTGCAATTATTGTTACTGCTACTACTACGACTACTAACTACTACCACTACCACCACCAC